ATGATGATTTTATCCTGTCTCGACCAATCTCTCGAGATTACTTGATGTCACTCAAAACAGGAAGACACAATGAGGTAACACAAGGACAGATTCAAGATTAAAGAGGCTATATAAACGTCTAAAACACTATAGCAAACTTTACTACTGTCTTCTTCTCCAGAATATAAAACAATGGCAATGGCACTTTCCGCCCTCCAAAATTGCAGCAAGGAATCTTAGGCTAGGAAGATTTTCAGATGTCAAGTTGGTTGCATCTTTGTTTGATGCTTAATAACGAGGATCAGCAACCAGCCGAACAATGCGGTATGGTAACAATAATAATATGTTACTCTCGAGTCTCGAACAAAGATGATTCAGTTTTTTGTAATGCTTGTCATATCCCGATTCTTGAAATTCTATTCATGTCAGATAAAAGTAGGAGCTAAGCAATTTGCAGCTAAAAGGTGCTACTCTCATCTAAATTAGCACAACAGATAAGAAAAATGGCGTTTTCAACTTGAAATGCTCTCCAAACTGGACTAGCATATGATTTGGCCTGAGGAAGATAATACATCACAGTTCCAACCAGCAAGGACGGTAACCTGATTGGGCTGAACACATGATTGTCGCACGGAACCGTGTAAAATGACAACCACGAGAGAAAAAATGCGAAGGTTGGTTGAATGGGGTGCACAAATGGGTCGCACATGGTACAAGTGACAGTACTGCAAACTGGGGAGTCCCATCACCTCACTTCACAGCACCTGAATAAAAGGCTCGTCAGTAACAGTACCAAAACTCTGCGATGTGGGTGTCAAACTGTATGGGGGCGCCTCCTGAGTTCCCACGCCTGGGCCTGGCCAATGGGTGAAGGTGATTGACAGCCAATTGAAAGTATGGTTGGGAAGGGGGGCGGTGCTAAAGCTCTAACGAATCGAGTTATCTGCGAGCGTGTTTGTACATGACCCGTTTAAATTTAAAAAAACATTCGATCATTTAATGAATTAACCGAGTTTGAGCGCAATATTAGACGCGTTTAATAATCGAGCAGTGGAGTACGAATCTAATAGTTCGTAAATACATTTATAATTATAAATATAAATATCAATACGTCTAATATTATTAGACATATATTATATTTTACTGAAAAAGCAATTATACATAAATTAGAATTATTTATTTTTAAAAAAAATCAATAAATACAACTAAACTTATTCTAAATAATGCATTATTTATTAAAAATATAATTAAATAATCTTCAAAATCAAATATTTACGAATCAAATTCAAATAATATTTATAATTCATTAATATTTGAGTCGTGCTCGAATCTTGCTCTAGATTGAGGCGCACACGACGTCCACACGCCCTCGCCTTGAATTGGCTCATTGAAAGCTCTAGGTTGCAGCGCACACGACGTCCACACGCCCTTGTTAGCAGGGACCCATGGGCTTTTTTTTTTTTTTTTTTGGTCAAAAAGAAAAAAAAAATCCCATTTTCAAGGGCAGTTGTCTCTATTTGGTCTATTATTTGCCCTTGAAATTTCGTTGTCTCGCAGATGCTTCTCCTCTCTCTCATGATTACGCTTTTGGATTTTTATCCGTGAATTTTGCATTCTGAAGGGGCAATGTATTATGCGAAAAGGAGTAATTGGATACGGTGTATGATCATGTAGAGGGAGGGATAAGATATGGTTACTGAATTGAGGGCCTCGAAGTGAAGTGGTGGTAATATGTTACTATATAAAATCATTTCTTTCCCATCTCAGCGGGGCGGGGCGGGGCGGGGTGCTTGCGCTAGCTTTTCTTGTCTCGTCTGCCTCACCTTTTTTACCCCCCTTTTGATTTAATGGGAGAAATAAAATTAGAAAAGCCGAAAAGAATTGTAAAGGGCAGAAAACGTCAAACCCACAATTGAAAGTGGACGATAGATATTTTGCGTCGCATTCTTTCGGTAACCTCATCCCAGATGCAAAAGTTTGCTAGATAGTTCTTGGATTGTGCAGCAACTGGCTCTTTGTTTTTTTGCTACTACAAGACGTGATACCATGACAATAAAGTAGACAAGTGGATCACTCCCAAGCATTTGAGAGGCTCTTGTTGAAAGGGCAAAAAACGAAAGAAATCCTCCAAAGGCCCTGTTGCTCGGCTTCCTAATTTTCTTGCGCCAGGAAAATCGTTATATTATTTGGTCTCTGCACAAAAGTTATTTGAAAGATTTTGCACTCCAAAAGGTACTGGCAGTGTAAATGAAGCGATTGACGGGACGAAAAAACCGAGGATCGAGCAAAATTCAATAATGCGTCTAGATTATGAGAAAAGGAGAAATGCGCTTGATTGCCATCCCTATTAAGGTCAGCAGAAAAGGTGAAGATGATAGAAAGAAAGGATCTCAGGCAGATAATAAAATGAAGGCAAGGATAAAGATGAAGGCATTAGAGTTTGAATGATCCAGGTCACTTTTGCTTGCAAGATTGGATTGTTGGAAAACTAACATCAGCAACTTAAAGCAACACACACACACACACACTCGCATATTAAAACTTGAGAGACAGAGCAACTGTTCCAGCAATCATGGATGTCTTTGGAAAAGAAAAAGAGAAAGAAAAAAGAACCTAGAAAGGAAATACTACTGAAAAGTTGGAACACGGAAAAACAATTAAAGACAGCGATGAAGTATGGTCAATATCTGTCTCATGATTTTTTGACCGTTCAGCCCACTCAACTTGGCCAACATACATGAAGTAGGGAGAGAGCATTTGCCTCCATAGGCTTTTGGCTCTGGATGCATACAAAGTTCCTTTTATTAGTGGAAGACTACATTTCAAAGTACATTCATATCTTTCCCCTTATCATCCTCCCACCAACATTAATTGTAACGCGAATTTATACATACATAGAACTTTATAACTTGTGTGGCCAACATTCAGTATCAACTTATCTAAATCAACAAAAACCCAAGGAACAGATTATATATATATGTATACATATAAAGAAACAACAAGAGGAGAGAAGAGCGAGTTTTGAGTCCCAAATATGATATGGTGCAATGCAGGATATTTTTCTTATGTTTTTATTTTCTGTTTGGTAAAGCTATGGGATCAACCACCATAATACCCCTATAATCTTTAAGCTTTCTTCCCCACTGCAAAAGCTTAGAAGATTTGGATTCCCCAGTTAGTACATGCCAAAAACTTTTTGACTGCCACGGCACACCTCAGGACTTGATAAACTTTTACTCTTTACTTTCTGAATTCCCCTGTAACATATTTCAGCAGACAAAACCAGCAATGCAGACATTCTTAGTTATGCTTTTATTTTCTTTTTGGGAAAGCAATGGGATCATCAGCCACAACACCCGTATAATCTTTAAAGCTTTCTTTCCTACTGCAAAAGCTTAGAAGATTTGGATTCCCCGTTAGTACATGTCCAAAAACTTTTTTGACTGGCAAACCTCAGGACTTTAAAAACTTTTACTATTTACTTCTCCCGTAACATATTTCAGGAGACAAAGCCATTCTAGTTTAGCCTTCCACTGCATTCCAGTTATGAAGTACCAGTTATATGAGAAATCGCCAATCCACTAAGTTAGTTTCCTCAGACAAAACTGTAATAGTTCTTACTTGAGTTTTGTTCCTTTAATTCCATTGCAACTTACGCATATCTATATATATTTGACAAGACAGCGTACTGGACAATTCAACTTTGATCAAGCCTTTACAAGTAATTAAACTAAAATGCCAGGAATTTTGTGGAGAAACAAGCAACTGCCTGTATGAATTTTTTTTTCCCCACATTAGATCAGATTAAAAGAATCCTCCAACTAGAATCCTTCCATCAAAGTGCCATTATAACTATGGTCTGTGATTTGAGATAATCAAATATAACTTTCAAATAAAAGAAACAAATTGTATTATTTTTTCCAAAATGGATCACATGAAAGTGGTTGTTGAGTCATTAATTTTTTATTTGTTCCACTTATAGAAAGGACTTGTCCCACTTATAGAAAGGACTTTCCTTCCCTTACCTCTTTCCTCCTGTGCCTCGTTCTCCTATTTCTTTACGTCACTGCACCTTGTTGGGCAAGAACCACTGCAGAGTAATAAACATGTCAAGTTAGCTTGCTTTGCAACAACTAGCAATTTTAAATTGACTTCTTCATCCGTATTATTCAATTGCTTTTTTCTCTTCCAAAAACTTTCTAGCTTTTGAATAATGATACTCTCCATGATATTCTGTGTGCACGCATGTGTATGTGATGTGAGCATTGTTTGATGTCACCAATTATCCACAACACTTAAATTTCCAATATCTTTTGGACCTGCATACATCAGATCAGATACAATTCGTAAGTCCCAAATGACCATATTGGACAGAAGTAAAGGTTAGATGTATACATATATCCGTAAGTTTTGGTATCAATGCAGAAATGTAATACAACACAACTTATGCACGCATTCAGCATCATATTCGAGTAGTCTTGTCTTTAAGAAACTTCACTGTTTAAGAAATGGGACCGCAACATTTTTACCATCCTATAAAACCCCTCTCCTGGATGTTTGCCTTCGCCTTCCAACACCAATATTATATGATCAGGTCCAGAACCTTGTTACATACATAAATCAATTAACTAGCAGAAACCATGCAGTCAGGTGATGCAACAGAGTTGTATTATCTGCTTACTTCAAATCCAACTCAATACCCTTCTCATTTTGGCTTGAACAACAATAACATGCCTTCTTTCAACCTTAGCAGAATTTCAAACCCTTTGTGCCACCTTCAGATCAATCCCCAGATTCAAGACTTCAACCCGCAGATGGCATCTTTCAGCTGCAATTCAACTTCAGATGAAGCAGATGATCAACAACTAAGTATAATAAATGAAAGAAAGCAGAGAAGGATGATTTCCAATAGAGAATCTGCACGAAGATCACGTATGCGCAAGCAAAAGCATCTTGATGAGCTATGGTCCCAGGTTGTTTGGCTCCGTAATGAGAATCATCAGCTGATAGATAAACTGAACCATGCTTCAGAATGTCATGATCGTGTACTTCAAGAGAACACTCAACTCAAAGAAGAAGCTTCAGAACTTCGTCAAATGCTCACTGAGATGCAGCTAAACAGCCCTTATTATAACTTAAGAGATCTAGAAGATGATCCCTGCAAGGGCTTGTCCCAAGACTGATTATATAGACCCTTCCTCTTCAGGTATCACTATTTCTTGTATGAAGATGGCGGTCAAGATTTTGATTTTTGCTTTGTCTCTTCCGTTCTTCGGTGCAGTCTATTCAATAAAAATCCAACTTCACTTTGAACTGTACGATGTCTGAAAGTCGTTTTCTGGCAACAGTTTTGATATGAAGATCATGTTGCCTTAGCTTATAATGCCGTAACTTGATTTAATAGCTGCTAATAAACCATTATAACTTCAATTTTTCTAGTCACTAATAAACTACTGTATAAGCTCGGTTTCCAAATTTGAGACTGCATGGTTATTCCTTCAAAAAAAAAAAAGACTGCATGGTTATTGCATACCTATATATTGACAGTCCAAATGAAAACGATGATGAATCCAGACTCGTCTGTCTGGGACGAAAAATGGCCAAAATCGTGCGGAATTGTTTTGATTATTCTAGTCAAAACAGTGACGTACAATGATGATAAGAGTGAACCTGCGGGTAATAGAACATTATCATAACAGCCAAAACAATGAAAAGAAAAAAGATAAATGTCAATGTGAGAACCACAAGCAAACAGAGACATATAAAATAAACTTAAGGTTGCAAACGATTACAGAAGACGATACGGAAGTAACACTTGGTGCAGAAATTTATTGGTAGCAGCAATTTTTACAAACGTGTAAGTGTGCGGCAACATTTTCAAGTCTTTCTGTTCTCTCCAGATGCCAGAATATGTAAATTTAGATGGGCCTGGGAAAGGCCATAGTTAAACAGCCGTTCTCCTTTTCCTTAATCAAACAGCACAATTCGTCCAAAAGGCATCAACAGTAGCATCACCGCAACAAAGGCCTAAGAACATTGTGTTGTTACTACCAGTATTACAGAATAAAGAAATGTCATCTCTGGGTGAACATCTTTTTGAACGCTAAATCCGTGTAAAGTCTAACAAATCCACAAATAAAAAGCTGACCTAGTCACATTAGTCATTTAAAATATCATCACATGGAAGACAAACTCATTCTTCTGTCGTACAATTGAAATCTCAGGATACAAGAAAGGCAGAAACCCTCAACTCCTACTCTCTACTAAACTACTTTCTCTAAGTATTACGTGAAGAAGGGGTCCGTTCTATCCCATCCCTCTTCTCCTTCCCTCTCAAAAAAATTATTAGATTTTGTTAAAAGAAATAAGAAAAAGTGATCTTTAAACTGAAAATTATGTACCCTAAATCAAACAGCTCTGGTATGAAGGCAATGAAGTACAGAAATCAAAACGTGGGGCTACTCCAGAATAGAAAATTTAGTATTGGAAAATGTGGATGATGAAAATCTCAGAGATGCCAAGGTCTCCAAGCTGTCAATTTGTCAAAATATGCTGCATCTGAGACAAATGATTCTCACCTCAATGCAAATATGCAAGAAATTGAAAAGAAAAAATACAACAACAACGACAAAGAAAGCACCGAAGGTCAAAGGTCAAAGTATCACTGTACTATCTGCAGGGGGTATTTACCTTGGTCATGAAAATCATGAGGTTGAGGATTCCTTTTCCGGAAGTTTTTTTGCTGCTGAGGCAACCGAGTGATTGGCATTTGGCAGTGCAGAATTGTTTAATTGAGAAAGTACTGGAAAAATTCGAGGGAGAGGGCTAGGGACTCGGGGTTTAACTCTTTTCCTGATTTGGAAGCAGAGGTTTCCCGGGTTTGCGTTGGGTTTGATGAAAACCAACCATGTTTTGACATTCGTCAAATGCATGTTTTGAAATACTTTGAGAAATGTGTGTTTGAATAGAATATTATTTGAAATAATTAATTTAAACATTTAATGATGTATGTGAGATAAAAAAATAATTTAAAATATAAAAAGATAAATTTATATTTATATTTATAATGCGAGCGAAATAGTACATGAAATAAGTCAGCAATCTAAACACTATTTGTAATCCCATCTTTATTAATCAACAAATGATGGGATAACAAATAATGGAGTGCAAATAATATTTTTTTAATACTATTTTGATTAAATACAAAAAAAATCTCCCGTGATTTCATTGAAATCAACAAGTTGCCCTGTGATTTTGAAATATCTACATTCCATCCTTGTGATTATGGAACAACTTTAACCCGATTGTTGTTACTCATTTTTTCCCTTTCCTTTTCTTTTTGAATTAATATTTCCTGCACTGTCAGTATTGGATAAATGATAACTATGAAAAATTTGAATTTGAACTCCAAACTTTTGCATATGTGTCATGGATCTAATAGTGAAAGTATATACATTGTTAGTGTATATAATATTTACTCTTTCTTTTATCCATTTTTTTTCCTTTTCTAATTCTCATTTATTCTTTCTCTGTCACTACACAATCACTATAGCTACACCATTGTGACAAACCACCTCTCTATTCTTATCGCCACCTCTATTTGCCACCATTTGCCATTCCTTCCTATTTTCTTCCCACTTTCCCGTCTTTCCCTTCTCTCTACCTCCTTTCTCGCCCTTCTCCCTTTATCCCTCTTTTTCCCAATGATCAAATCTGGTCATCAGAAGAAGAGGGATAGACCAAGAGCAATGAGAATGTGGGAAAAGGAGAGAGGAAAAGAGGAAAAGCTGATGAGGAAGGAAGAAATAAAAGAGATAAGAGAGTAGAAATAGGTGGTGACAAATAGGGGTGGTAAGTGGCCGCTGGTGGCACGTCTACGTAAATGCACCATCCTTTCCTTAGGCAAATTTACATGGAATTGATACCATTAAGGTCAATAGAATTAAGAAAATTGAGGTTTCCTGTCCCTCGAGAAATGCTACCTTAAAGGCCTAAGTAGGAGAGATTCAAGGAGACAACTTTATGATGGCGAGATAACGTGTCACTCCAATCCATTTGTAGTCCAATTTTTCTCAATAGATTGAAAGAATCAAATAGTTGGGATTTTAAGGCAAAAAATGTTGATTGATCTATTCTAAAGCTACATTTGATGAGAGCTATCAAAATAGTAGGAAGAATTAGCAGTAGTACAAGATGAAAAAGAATGGTAATTATATCCCTGCAAAAAATGGAGAAATTGCAAAGGAAATTAGCAAAATAGAATTTAGGGGAGAAGGTTGGGTTGGATAGCAACGAAAGGGTTTTAAGCAACTGGGGAAAAAAAAGATTACCAAGGAAAGTATCAAAGACAAGGTTTGTGAGACTGAAGATGAAACAAGTAGGCTAGATGCCTCAATACCATTTGTAGTTTTAGATCCACTTTGTTTAATCTAGTTAGTGTTCCACTTTAGCAATAAGAAGCAATTTGTTTTTCTTTTTTTTTTATGGTTTTTGCATATTACCTGACAAACCGGTATTCATTTCCCATCGATCTATATCTATATGTATTGCAGAGAGGGATTTAGCAGATACCCTCTCAATGACTTCAAATGTTCTCATTCTTTTTTTTCTAGAATTTTGTGAATATTTTAGGGCTTGAATTTCAACCGCAAGGGTGGATTTTTTGGAAATATGAGAGTGTTTGAAGTGCAATTAGAGTATTGAATATGAGTCATTATAACTAATTTAGTTTTGTTGTAATTACTTGGATGTCCTTTTGAACATTTAAAACTAGGGGTAAGTTTGATATATGACATTATTTGATATCCGATTAAACATTGAGTACAACTGAATTCAACTTGTGTTTTAGTGAAATTACATAAAAGCCCTTCTAATAATTTAATTGTATTAACATCTAAATCTTTTAATTTTTTAAAGTCTTTCTCATCAGTTATTTGCAAAGTTATGATATATAGATGTTAAGACACAATTAATGTCAATTAGTAGAGAAGTCTGGTTTTTTGCCGTTATCATAGTAACTCCTATCTATTCAAATTCATTTCATTTGCTTATAGGTTTTGTTCCACCACAATCATGCAGCATATTGAATTCGGATGTTGTTACATTAGCTACTCTTCTTCCCTATTTTGCAACACCTTTTTCAATAGGTATGTTTTCTTTAACTAATCTATTTTTTTGTTGTAAAAATCTGTAATATTGCAAGTTGTCTATGCAATAATTTTTTAGTATTTTAATTCAATTGTTCATGTTAGACAAGCTTGATAAGGAAGAGACCACATTTGTTAATTGTTATTTACGGATTAAAATAAGTTTATCATCATAAATTTTCCCATTTATAGATTGCATCTACTTCTTTTGTTGTTTTAACTATTAGTTAGGGTAATTTTCAAATCATTTGCTACTTTATTGACTATTCCATTTAGACAATTTTTTACTTCATCTGATTTGCCAATATGTTTAACTATCTACTTAAAACTATTTGACTACAAATCTAAAGTATGTATCTCATTACTTTTAATTATTTTTCTTAAATTGAGTGGATTAAGATGCTTTAGTACTTTTTTGAGGTAATTATTCCTCTAAATTAGCATGCTAGTTGTTGTATATCTTTGCAACTAACACAAAACTAATATTTCGTGATTGTAACCCCTATCGAGAAGGAGATACTTTACTATATGTCCTAAATCATACAATAAATTATAATTAATTGCTTGTTCAATGTGAAGGCCTCGTGATGATATATGTCTTTGGAATCAATATAAATTCAAGAATTTGGATTGCAAGAACTGAAATTCCACTAGTAATGATTTCTTCAAGTATGCTAATTGTTCAAATCTCACTTATATGACAAGATAATGTGGTGGATTGCCTTCATATCAAGATCAAATTCAAACTAAACAACAAATTTTAATAACTCTAAAGTGCATGAGTAAATATAAATAGGTCTTTTATTATACTATATTAGATGCAAAATAGTTGATCGTATCTTATAATTATGTTTTATTGCATATTATATTTTTTTAACTCAATATGTAACTTATGATTTTTTTATTTAATATCACATAATAAAAATTGTCATACTTCAATCCTTATACTATAAAATGCCAAATAATAATTATTAATCATCTTTAATTATAGGCACTAAACTCCCATGCGTTGCGTGGGCTTTTCCCCTAGTTTTAATACATAAAATTAGGGGTGTGCATTCAGTGCAATGATTTCGGTTATTCGACCTATAGAAATCTAAATCGTTTTCAATTTCAAATTGGCCATAACCGAATTCATTCCGCAACCGATTTCAAATTCGAAAACGGTAATGAATTCGGTCTAACCGAATTCATCTATTAAAAAAACTAACTTTTTAAAAATTATTACTGATTTGATTCCCAAATTTATTCATAATTTAACACATTACTTATGTTCTAATCATTTTGTGGTTTAATTTAATTGGCATTTATTTGATCACTTATACCTAGAATCGTTAGTCTATGATTTAAGAAACACATAAAAAGTGATCAATTTAAACTAGAATAAACCTTAGAGTGTACGATAATTAGTGATAATTTATGAATTTATAATTTAATAATAAGTAATATTAGTAGCAAACTTACAAATTACAACGATTAGTGATAAGTTATATTAGTTACAAACTTATAATTTGTTTTAAATCAAAATAAAACTTATTTACTTACATATATTATTGTGAAAGTTAATACACTAATACATTGATTTGCAGTTCACATACATTCACTTGCACTGCTTAGTTGTCTTATCTATATTTAAAGCCTTAAGATTAGTGAATATATAATATAAATTTTTATGTTAAATATGTAATTTAAATTTAGAGCACACTAATACTTGCAAGTTATAGATTGCGCATTCAAATATTCAATAATTCAAGCATGAATGATCAATGATGTATCAAATTACCAATATCTAAATTCTAATTACTAATTATGTTTATTATTTAATATTTAGTATTAAACATATATGTATTAATTATTATCCAATTCTAGTCATGCTACTCACGTATAAAATAATAAGTAATTATCTTATATTGTTATGTATTACTATGTATTTGTATTATTATAGTCATATAACATTTAACAAATACTAAAATAATATATTGTACATTATTATATATTATTATTATTATATGTACATGATATGATGATAATACGATATACTAATTATTATTAATAGCATTTACCTATATAATATAATAATATATTAGTAGTGTATACTAATACTAAATAGCATTTATCTATATATTATATAATTTTATATATCAATTTGGTATTCGAATGCGGTAATGAGGTACCCTATTTCAGTTACCGAATTTGAATGCGAAATTGGTTATTACCAAATTCAGAATTTTATTACCTATTTCATACCATATTAGAATTCGGTGAATTCGGTATGTACCGAATTTGTACCAAATTACAAAAAATTCGATTTCAAATTACCAAATTAAATTTAAATTCGGTTATGAATTCGGTATGAACCGAATTTCCTCACCCCTACATAAAATCTAATTAAAAACTTTAAAATAGTAGGTTATAATTAATCCTATCACTAGTCAAATTTAAATTTTAAAATTTAAATCTTTCCCACTATCTCCTTCATAAACCGTTTATAGTTTGTTATTTATACTTTAAGTTCTTTTTACTTCTTAATTAAATAAAATACATCTTGTCAAGCCAAATTTCTTAGGGATAATTGATTAGTCTCATTTTTAAAATTATTCACTCTATTATATCCTCATCACTTTAGCCCATTTTATTCCTTCATTAAGAAGGATTAATTTATCTAGTCAAATCCTTGAGATAATGTGATTAGTCCTATTTTTTAGTTATTCATTCAATTATTTCTTTATCGCTTTCCTTCTGGGTACAATAATCATTTGTCAAAATATTCTAATGATATACTCGATTACTCTTATTTTTAATAATTTATGTTTCCATTACTAAATCAATTTTCTTGTGGTCTTAAACTTTTTTTTTTTTTTTGTGCAAGCTGAGGGCACTTACTAGGTTGCTTTTTTTATTTTTATGTTGGCTTTTATTCAGTAAGTTTGTTTTTTAAAGTTTTAAAATTTGAATGTTGAAATTATACTCTAACATTAAATTGAGTATGTAAATAACAATTATGACATTTTATTTGCATTTAGAATAATCTCAATATTAATATCATGCAAGCATCTAGATGACTTTTCATTTAGCACATGTACACGAAAAAGTGCATGTAAAGAAAAATTATGTATGAATTTTAAATTAATAAAAGTGTATTTAGAAGGTTGCTTTTGGTGGTATTTTAGCAAAATTTTAATGAAAAGGTTGTATTTCACCAAATTTACATCCAAAAGTTTACTTTTTCGATGATTGCAATTCTAGCTTTTTATTTGATTAAAAACACTTAAAAATGAGGTAGCAACTTGGAAAAATAATTCTAACTTTTTATATGTCCAAAAACATTTAAAAAGTAAGATAATGAATCATAAATAGTGAAAGCATTAAAAAAAATAGAACTGCAGGGTTAGGGAAGGTAAAGATTAGGGACAATTATCAAATTTGATGATTCATGTGAGTATGGGCAAGTTATAATTAGGTTAATCTATATATTCCTACTTAGTTAATGGTTCAAAATAGATGAGTCGTCAATGAATATAGTTTTATATGGGTTTGGATTATCCAATCATCTATTCACAGCCCATTACTAAATGTTATTTACTTTTTCATTCATATTTTGTTTAGCAACAAAATAGTAAATCATATCAACATATCAAGTTAATAAATCAATTTTTACCTAAAGAAAGAGAAAAAAACATAAAAATTGCTTAAAGGAGCCTAAAATGACCATCATAGTGAGTTTCAAATTTTGTCACTATATGACAATCTAAAAATAATTTAGATATTAATGCAAACAATCAATTAACATTCACGAAATTTATTAAACTTTTATGAAAGAAATGAAGGAAGTAAGATAAATTTCAAAAAATAAATAATAGAAATTAAAGAAGAGGGAAAATGATGAATACATCTTTGCAAAAATTAGAATATAATTATTAGAGTAATTTAGATTTACCCATTAATGATTGAGTTTGAATCTATGTCTAATTTAATTAAATCAAAATAAGTCATTCAAAATCTGTCAATTTCATACCCACTAATTAATGGGTTAATTTGGTCACCCATTTGAATCTAATTAAATTACACACAAACTCATTTGTTAATATACCACCAAATAAATAGGTTACCATTTACATTTATAAATAGATGAAAATAATAATAGAATAGGAGACAAGTGAGCTGTAAAATTAGATACGAGAAAGGATAATTGGGTGGTAGCGAGATAGAGCAAAGAGAAAATAGGATTTGATAAAAGAGAAAATGGTTGTAGGGATACAAAAAAATTGAGTAGGATTTTAAGGAACGAAAAAGGTTGTAAGGATGCGAGAAAGTTAAATTCAGAAAGTAAAAAGAGAATAGTGAAAAGTAGGAAGAATATCGAGGAGGAGAGAGGAGGTTGAGAGTGAAAAAAGTGGCATGAAAAGGGAGAATATGAGAGAAAGGGATAATATTATTGTGTTTGGCCATATTTCTCCTCCTTCTCATATAAACCGTGCATAGCACAGGCAAAATACTAGTTATGAAGTATGGTTGAATTATGTTCATAACTTGGTTTCAAGTAAAGGAGCATCATCTACTCATTTTCCATATGTGATTTTCTCCAATCTTTTTCTTTCTTTCTTTTTTTGGTTGTTGTATTGTAGAAATAAGAGCTAAAACAGTATATTCACATATAATTATTGATTAGGTCTTTCCCAAATAACTCCCAATAGTCAACAAAAATGAGGGATCCTAATCTAATTGATGGCTAATTACATTACATCACATCACAAAAAGTGATATAATAATTATTTCAAATAATACTTTTGTTTGGATAAAGTATTATTTGAAAAAAATGAATTGGCAAAGTGTTTATGATGTACGTGAAATATTCTCTAATTATTTTTTGTTGGCATTGGATAATAGACTTTTGCACAATTATGAGAAAGATTACTCTTGCGATTCAAAAAAAAAAAATATAGTTGCACTAGATAGGATTGACCACTTTTTTGAAAGGCCAAAAACGAAAAATCTTTATCTGTTATGTATGGATTGATTGAGTGATGCAGAAAAACTTGGGGGTTGATATTTGGATTAGTCCCGGTCTCCTGGTATCAGGGTATTATTTGCGTGTAATATGCTGGGAATTTAGTCAGTTGCCTAAGAAAATGGTAAAATGTGGAACCGACAAACCGCGTTCTAGCGTTCCAACTTCCAACCAAAACCAGCGAGTGAAACTCAGGTCCGACTTCGAATTTAGAAACAAACACAAGTAGGGAAGGGTTAACAACTGGAAGAGTAGAAGAAGAATCAGGTAAAAAGAAAAGGAAAGGAACCTCTCTCCCTCCCTCTCTCTAGCTCCTCAGATAGATCCCATTTTCTGCTTTCACTCCGACGCATACATAGAGGACACTCTCATACACAGTCTTCTCATTCTGCATTCACTCCTAAACCCCCCAGGCCCCAACCCTTTCTGCATCTTCAATTCACCTGATTTGTCGGCATTGTTATTTCTACACTATTAGGTGGCTTGGATTCGAATAATGGCGGTGGCGGTCCGGGGCGGCCGAGGCAGCAGCATCGGCGGAGGATCTGGTGCCGGATCCACCTTTCGTAACTTCTTCTCTTATAGAGTCTTCGTCTCCGCCATGTTTACCCTCCTCTTCCTCGCCACTCTCTCCGTCCTCTTCTCCTCTCACCCCTCCCATCACGACGACGACGACTCCGTAAGTCCCGATGTCTTCCCAATTATTTACTTCTTGTTTTGAGGGTTTTATTGACAACAGCAAGTATTGGTAGTAAGTAGTAGTAATTTTTTGAACCCCCCCCCTTTTCCCCCTTCCTACTGTATTATGTCAGGTGATTTTGACGAGCGGGAACGCCTACGTGCAAAGAACATTTCTAGCGTTAAATTCGACCCATTAAAGACTAGGGTAGATATGATATACAGGCAAGCTAATGATCACATTGCCCTTGTAAATGCCTATGCTGCTTATGCTAGGAATCTCAAGCTGGAGATCTCTAAAAGCTTAAGATGTTTGATGATTTAGCTAATAATTTTGCCGAGCTTCAACTGAAGCCCAATTATAGGAATGCTTTGTTTGAATCGGATGGACCCATAGACGAGGATGTCTTGAGACAGTTTGAGAAAGAGGTTAAGGATAAGATTAAGGTTGCTAGGTCCATGATTGCCGAGTCAAAAGAGTCGTATGATAATCAATTGAAGATTCAGAAGTTGAAGGATACATTTTTGCTGTCAATGAGCTGCTTGTCAAGGCTAAGAAGAATGGTGCTTTTACTAGCTTGATCGCTGCTAAGTCAACTCCCAAGAGCTTGCATTGTGTTGCCATGCGGCTCATGGAAGAGAGAATTGCGCACCCAGATAATTATGTGGATGAGGACCCAAAGCCCGAGTTTGAGGACCCTACCTTGTATCATTACACATATTCTCGGATAATGTGATTGCCGTATCTGTGGTGGTTAATTCGGCTGTGAAGAATGCAAAGGAACCATGGAAACATGTCTTCCATGTGGTTACAGATAAGATGAATGTGGCTGCGATGAAGGTTGGTTTAAGATGAGGCGGTTGAAGGAGGTGTGCACGTGGAGATCAAGTCTGTAGAGGATTTTCCATTCTTGAACTCATCATATGTCCCGGTGCTAAGGCAACTTGAATCAGCAAATCTGCAGAAGTTTTACTTTGAGAACAGTGCAGAAAATGCAACAAAAGATGTGAACAACATGAAATTTAGGAACCCTAAGTACTTGTCGATGTTGAATCACCTTCGATTTTACTTGCCAGAGATGTATCCCAAACTGCACCGGATTTTGTTTTTGGATGACGATGTCGTAGTACAGAAGGATTTGACTGCGTTGTGGAGAATTGATATGGATGGCAAGGTAAATGGGGCAGTTGAGACCTGCTTCGGTTCATTCCACCGCTTTGCACAATATATGAACTTCTCCCATCCTCTGATCAGGGAGAAATTCAATCCCAAGGCCTGTGCCTGGGCATTTGGGATGAATATCTTTGATCTTGATGCTTGGAGGCGTGAAAAGTGCACTGAGGAATACCATTATTGGCAGAACTTGGTTAGTAAACTTTGCTCTTTGTACTTATGTTTTGTAATTCTGTTGATTACATCCAGCTTTTCAAAATAAGTGAGTGTTTTGTGCTTTGAGATTCTGTTGTCTCACCTGTCCTGTTTAAATTTTTAGGTCTAAATTGTATTATCAAATTTTTTGCTCTCTTATCTTAAACAGAATGAGGATCGGACTCTCTGGATGTTGGGAACTCTTCCGCCTGGGCTGATGACCTTCTACTCAACGACCAAATCTTTGGATAAATCTTGGCATGTGCTTGGTCTTGGGTTCAACCCGAGTATTAGCATGGATGAGATTAACAATGCTGCTGTCATCCATTTCAATGGGAACATGAAACCTTGGCTGGACATTGCCATGAACCAATACAAGCATCTTTGGACTAAATATGTTGATTCTGACATGATATTTGTGCAAATGTGCAATTTTGGCATGTAGAAATGCAGGATTACTGTCAGTGAGGCATCTCCAAGCTCAAATTATAGTTACCGTTCATAGGGCTAGCATTTTTCCTATTTGTTGTAATTCTAGGAGCGAAGCTCCTGGCATGTGTTTTTTTACATCCCTCTAGCTGTTTCTTGTTTTCGCTCCCTCTCTCACCCCCTCCCCCCCCCTCTCCTCTCCTCTCTAGTTGATGTATTCTCCAATTGAATGCACACGCTTTTCTTGAGTAAAGATTGAGTTGAGTGTTTAACAAGATTGAGTTGAGCAAAGATTGTATTCTCCTAAAAGTAATGCAGTTGGGAACTAGGTTTCATTTGCTGCAGAATGTGGAGTTATATGAATCTAGTTCGGCCACTCATACTCTTAACTAAATGTTTTTCCTAGAATCCATTCCTAATTTGTGTCGTTATGCTCTGCAAGTATAATAATTGTCATGTTTGTTGAGATGCTCGGTTTATGTGAGATGCAGGCATGTACCATACAGAGTGGTTCTGTGATCATTTGTGCTCGTCAAAGATCCATCAGAAATTTCAGGCTTCTCGAATACTTGTCTTGTGGAATATCTGCGGTGAAATTAATTTTGCTTAACGAGTCAATTCTTTATGCAGTTACCAGGCAACTTCCTTCGGGGGAAGAAGATCTCAAGAGCATGGCCGTATGAAGTCTAGTTTCCAGGTTGTCTTTTAAACACGGTTAACACTAGTTGGGAAGGGGTTGTATTGAGGTAATACTCTGATATGCGGAGTCAAATCAAGCTAGTTAGCCAAATGCTACTGAGCATTTTCATAAGATGAGGGTTTAGTGGTGCGCATCATGATGACGGCAGCCATTCTTTTTCATGTTATCTTCATGCTTTCAGATGTTGCTGCTATTGTGAATTGTTCTTATTCATGTACGTAACCTTTCTTTCGAGGCATAAGTTAAGGTAGAAATGGTAGGCTTTGAACTTGGTGATAGCTTACTGGTAATAATCTCTCTTCAATTTACTGTAAACAAAATTAGCATGAAGAACAACTTTTTGAAGGCTTGCCGTCAAAATCTTCTTGCAGTGGAATTTGCTCATATAAGGAATCAGTAGCTGAGCTTGCCGAGATTCAATTAAGAAAAAGAAAAATCTCCGCTTCAGAAAAGTTTCATCACAAATTTACCCACTACTGCTGCTTCACAATTCAGAGCTTAACACATGACATTTAAAGACAACGGCCCAGCTGCCCCAAAGAGCCGTCAATGGGCCTTGGACCTTTTCCAGGGAAGACAGATTTAGGACACTGCGACAAGCCTGGCCGCACGCAGCCGGGTTCACATTCACTTAGGCTCGTGACGTCAGCTAGTTCTCTTTTCTATGTATCTCTGATTACAGCTTATGCACGCATGAGCCCCCCAACAACTGTATACATACACGTTTCTATATATATATATATATATAATTTTTTTTTTATTTATCGTTACCATCTACTCCTACTCCTACTCTAACCTATACTAAGAAAGTGATCCAACAGAAACTTTAACCTATGCTACGAGAGTGATCCAACGGAGCTATCAAGATCCGATAGAAACTAAATCGCCGTCAAATCATTCAAATGCAAGAGACATTCATATGAATATAAGAAAAGTCATAAATGACAACTTTTTGATGGAAAAAAAATTTAAAATCCCTGACCTCTCGCCCCAAAAGAATAGAAGTAATTGGTTAATCGAGGCAAATATCATCACAAAAAAGTCGGATGCTGCGGCGCAATGACAACGGGTGGAAGGCAATTGAGACCCGGAATATGCCAAAGAATGTACGGGGCGGGGGTTCTTTGAACATTGTGCAACAGTAGCAATGTAGAATTAAAGTGTCTCCATTAATAGCAGTTCCAACGTCCCTTTTTATTAAAGTTTTTCCTCCCCAAAATGATTCCCCCTGAGTTACTATCGTTTAAAATACTCTTCGCGTAGCCGAGCCGCCGCGACCCACGAAAGTAAATGCAATACAGACCACCCAATTTACTACGTACTCTACAAAAGTAAATGCAATATAGACCACCCAATTTACTACCCAATTTACCACCCAATTTCAACAAGTCTTTGACTTGATCACTGCTGTTATTCAACCAACCACTCCACCCTCCTCCCTAAATTAGTTGGCCATCAACAGAGTCTCTACTTGAATGATGTAAATTAATATATTAAATTTCTTGAACAAAATTTCGATAGCAGGGGCGTAGGCATTCATGTGAGCCGGTGACGATTCAGTTCATTCTGCAACGATTCAGTCCCTTCTGATTTTTCCGTTAATTTTCTTGAGTTTTCCATCTCCCTGGCACAGAGAAGGAGTGAGTATAATTAGAATCTATCGTATCCAACAACAAAAAAAAATAATATCACTGTTATTCAAGAAAAGCGAGTGGAAAAAGAAGCCAAATGGCAAATGTGTTCATGTTGTCGACATATTTAACACATTCAGAATTTTTTTTGGGGTACAAGTTCCATCCGGGAAAACGTTGCGGTTGCCTTTTTCTCCCGCTGACTAACTAAAAGCTAATAATAATAGTTGTATTTCGTGCAGCGCCGATGCGCTACGTTCTTTTTTTTTTTTTATGTATGGCTCTCGTCATCTATAGGCAAAGTGAAATATGGTGGAGATGGCCAGCTCTAGAGTTCGCTGTTTAATGGATAGTCGATCTTTTTCTTCCATTATTCTTCTTGTGCTCTAGTACGGATCTAAATACAGTTCCTATCTAATACTAACAGTCATTTTCCTCCTCACCAGTAAGTAAAGTGGGAGGTTTCGGCAAAACCCTCAAGATTTTCTTGGTTCTTTGCTGAAAGCCCTCCATCTCCATTTCTTTTTTAGAGATGAAATTTTAAGGAATTGACCAAATTAAGGTTGCCAACTATAATTAGGTGATACAACACTGTGAAACAGACAGATGCACTCTTGAACCTTGATCCAGAACACAGAAAGAGAGAGATGTGACGTTCACTTGGATGTTTGACATCAAACCAACTGGTACGAGGAATGCATCACCGAACTGGATCAGGATGATTGAGAAAACAACAACTCCTCAGAAAAATATTAGCAAGATGATCATTTTACAGGAGTACAACAGAAAATTTAGCACCTCACTCCCTGGATTTTTTTTTTATTTTTTTATTTTATCAAATTATTAACCCAGACATTTCTATTCAAATCGTAAAGAAATCCACACTTCGATACATTCACGCAAAGGAGCCCTAATCAAAACATGGCAAAGCCAATCCCAGGCAGCCAACATGATTCATCGAGGAACATGAAATCACGCATATACATTTGTGCACAAGGTGCATAGACCCGTCTACATTCATTCATGCACGACCGATTTTCCTTCCATTCTATCAAGAAGTTTGAGAGGAAAACAAATCGTCCCAGTCCCACTTGCATTATAATCCCTCAGTAGTGACTGTGTGACATCCACTCATCCTCAATTTACACATCCGGAAGAAACTCTAAGCAAGAGACAAGAAAAGTACAAAAGAGAGTTGGATAGGGCTTTTATCTATCCTTCTACATAAAGCTTAGTACTTGCATGGCAGGCAGAAAGAAATCCAGGAGTGGCATTAGTCGGACAGTCATATAGAGTTCCAAATTTCTTTCTACGAAAAGATGATCAAACATGATGGTGGCCCTGTTCGTCTGGGCAATTATCCGGCGGAGAAGACACCGGGACTGCCAAATGTGAGGGATTTTCATCACCGGCCATGATGACAACAATCTGTGGCGTCATGGCAGCGGCAGTGGTGGTTGAGGGCTTCACCGACGACTTCTCCTCATCGCCGCCCGACACGTTGGAGAATCGTTTATGATAGGAACAAGCAAGGATTACTAATGCTACGGTGATGAGAGTTAACATGGCACCCAAGCCAAAAAACAGATATGGCAACGGAGAGTTCCATTGCCAAAAGCTAGGGGTTTTAGCTGGTACTACCATCTCTCTCTCTCTTGCAAACTCTTCCTCTTTTTAACTGAGTTAATTCTCGACTCAAATGCGGTTGATGGTATCCTGATTGTCCAATATATGGCTTAGCCTTGAGAAGACTCAGTGAGTAGAGCCTCAGAGGTGTCGACACACACATATATATATTATTTATAGGAAGGCCAACTTTCTCTCCCTAGTGGTGTCGATCATTGCAAGTACTAAAATGCCACTGGCATCAGGGAAAAGATTCTTCTGGTGCTTTTACGGATTCCGGGTCAGAACAGGAGTTTCTCGGTGCTGCTGATATGCATGCTAGCATTAGAAGTTTCTTTTGCTTCCCACAAATTACAGTAGACGCACTAACTAATTAATTTTATCTTTAATTAATTAAGCAGTGCAGCAGACCCATCGATCCAATCGAAATGTTGGGCCTGTTTGGAACCTAAATTTTTTGGGAATTTGTCTAAAACTTTACTGTAGTGCACTGTAGAAGTTTTTGAAAAAATTTTGTAGAAATTTTTGTTAGGTGAAAAATTTTGTAAAAGTTTTTGTAAGGTGAAAAACTTTTTTTTTCTTTCCCTTTCTTTTTCTTTTTCTTTTTCTTTCTTTCTTTTTCTTTTCTTTCCTCTCTTTTTCTTCTTCTTCTTCTTCTTCTTCCCCGTTACCTCCACCACCCCCAGCTGCAACTCCACCTCTCGCCGTCCCCCTCTGCCCCTTCCCCCTCCCCCCGCCTTCCCTCTCCCCCGCCGTCCCCCTTCCCCGCAGCCTCTCTCTCCCCCGCCTTCCCCCCCGCAGCCCCCTCTGCCCCTCCCCCCGCCTTCCCTCTCTCCCCTGCCGTCCCCCTCCCTGCCGCCTTCCCCCTCCCCCCGCCGCCTCTCTCTCCCCCATCTTCCCCCCCGCAGCCCCCCTCTGCCCCTTCCCCCTCCCCCGCCTTCCCTCTCTCCCCCGCATTCCCCCTCCCCCGCAGCCTCTCTCTCCCCGCCTTCCCCCCGCAGCCCCCCTCTGCCTCTCCTCCCGCCTTCCCTCTCTCCCCGCCGTCCCCCTCCCTGCCCCTTCCCCCTCCCCCGCCGCCTCTCTCTCCCCTATCTTCCCCCCGCAGCCCCCCTTTGCCCCTTCCCCTCCCCCCGCCTTCCCTCTCTCCCCGCCGCCCCCTCTGCCCCTCCCCCCCCCCCCCTGGCCGTCCCTTCCCCCTTCCCCCTCTGCCCTCTTGGTCGCCCCTCTCTGTGCCAGACGTAAAGAGAGAGAAAAAAAAAAAAAAGACAAGGGAGGATGATGGCAGGGGAGGAAGAGGGGGAAAGGGAAAAAAATGGGGAAAAAAAAAGACCGGCACCGGATCGGAAATTGGTGACGGAGCCGGCAATGGAGGTGGTAGTGAGGGAGGAAGAAGAAGAAAAGAGGAAGGGAATTTTTTTTTTTTGTTGTGTTTTGGATATTTTAAGTGTGTAGGTTAAAAGCTTTGATAAGTTTATTGGGGTTCCTGTAGCAAAAGTTGTTAAAAAACTAGTTTTATACAAACTTGGTAAAAAACCAAGCTTCCAAACAGGCCTGTTGTTGGTGGGTTGGACGTTAATCTCAGTCGGCTTCCCAATTAAATACAATGCGGGGCTTCGACAATTTTCAATCTCGAATTGCACGGTACAACAACGTATACATGCACTAGCACAACAAATGCACAGAGTGCAAGTATTAAGACAACGACCACATGCAAAAATACACCAAATTTTGATATTTATTAAGACTAAGACCCTTGTTTAATAATCCAATTCAACACTTAAATTTAACGGATAATTAAAAATTAAACATCTAAATTTATTAAGTGGCACTGAATTTTCTTTCTAGGCAAAACTTGCTCTCAAAATTAAGTGATAAACTATATATTCACTTGTAACTGAATGTGATATGTATTCAAATATATTAGAGTTAATATTTAACAACTGAATGAATTCAAAGTTTAGATTGCATATTTCAGTTTTATCAAACGTACCCTCAGTATTACAATCAAATTACATCTATAGAGTTCTAAATTTAATCAACTCTTACTACTAAATATGCTCATACACATACATAATTAGTAAGGAATGGAAATATTCATTTTTTGAAATGTGAGGGATGGAGAAATTCATTTTGTGAAATGTGAGGGATGAAAAAATCATTTTATAAAATGTGAGGGACGAAAAAATTTGTTTTATAAAATGTGGAGGACTATAGATCAGATTATGTAAAATATAATTTGACAAATTTACCCTTAAAAAATGATCACGTGCCTTGCACGTGATGGATTCCGGCAAAAAAATGATCGGAAATCTAGTTAGGGACTAAATTTGACCGATATGAATATGTAAGGGACATAAAATTACACTTTTAAAAGTGAGGGATGAAAAAGTTATTTTATAAAATATGATGGACGTTTTGGACGATTTTCCCTGTATATTATAACGAGCTCCAAAAACACTAGGTTGACTTGAGGATGGAAGAATTCGTAAAGGTAGGAAGATTACTATTAATTAGACAAGTTTGCACGGCATGACTACTGAGTATAACTAGAAGCACTTTGAGGTCAAAGTGTTCACATAATATTATTGTAAATTCGTGGATAACTCAAGCCATGAGAGGCTTGACTATAAGAAGTTGTAATACTTTTTAATGAACAACTTGTTTTTTTTCTTTTAACGATGAAATCAGAAGTCAATTACTAACCCTGAATCCAGGTTTTTAATGAACAACTGGATAGCACTCATTATAAATAGCCATTCATCATAAATTTCTTTTTTTTTTTGGTTTTTTTTTTCATTCAAAAGAAAAGGAAGGACAGTAGGACATCGCAAATTTGTGCTCACAGCTTGAGTGTCTGATGTTAATTAATCCCCCTAAGCACCCACGATCGAGTTATGGCATTAGGCGGTGTGAAATGGAGCAAATTAAGTACTTGGATAAGTTTACAAGACAGAGTAACAATGTATCAAGTTTGCTGACTTCATACCCCAAGGGGTTTTAATATGTGCTCATGTATTATGAGTTGAATTGTACTCCATATATAAGTGCTCATTTTTACACATTAACTACTTGTTATCCTTTTTTTTAAAACATGGTTTATAGGGTTTTCCATGCACAAAGTGGAAAATGGGCTTGCTCAAAATAAACAAGGCAAATGGGCAGAGCATCTCACAAGGCGTAACTGGAATTGAAAGGGTCATGACTTCACTTCTTGGTGAAATTTGTGGCGTAATTTTATCGGAATAGGAATTTGGATTTGGACTTGGATCCTTAATTGATGCCTGACACTCTAAATTTTTCACTCTCAATAGACTTCCACCCAAAAAAAAAAAAAAGAAAAAGAAAAAATGAATCATACAAGAAAAGAAAAACAACCCCACTTCTTTTTCTTTCCAAAGTGGGTACTAGGTGGCTTGGCATCATACATTAAATAAGATAGAATTAGAAAGCAACGTATTAAATCCGCAGTAATGTTACCCATCCAGACGGCGTGGCAAATTTGTGTTGAGGCTGTAGGGCAAGCACATAGAGATAATTATCAGACTTGTACTACTAGTCAGAGAAGATGTATGTATCTGGTAGTGTGGCCTGCGGAATTGGAGCATCCACCAGTGATTTTCAATTTTGCGTCGCTGTGTGTATTAGGGTCGTGAAAAAGATGCAAGACCACTACTCACAAGGAGATGATAAGGGGCCCGAAGTGGCCAAGATTTTCAACTGGGATTCATTGGTGAGACAGAGAAGAAAAAAGCAGTATCACCAATGTCTCCCACTAAAGAAGGCGAAGGCGGCGTGGAATAGGAGCAACGTCCCAACCCGGCCAACTCCCTTCTCCCCCTCATTCTATTACAACAATTGGCCCAGCAACTCAACAACAGTCCTCCCCTTGACAATCTAATCTCTCCTGCTCTGTCTGGATCGCTGAATGTGCCTGCAGGGCTTCCACATCTTGCTCTTTCGCCCTTTCCAGCAGAGCTTTATAGTGCAAGGTGTATACCATATATAATAGCCTGCACGAAGCTCTACGAGTACAGCTGTTGGAATGAGCTTTTTTTTGAGAAATTCTGTTAAAGCAGTGAAAATCTGAAACTCATGTTGTTACAAGTGAGGAATGGTAAGGGAGAAGATCTACAACACTTCATCTCCATTTTGAATGATTCCCGTAATAGCCTATTAAACAAACAATAGATATGCGTAATCACAAACAAACCTCATGTCTTCTTTTTGCTTTTAAAACTCACGTGGGAGAAAGAAGGTGACAACAATCAATTATATATACTACCTCAAACTCAAGTAAATTAGTATAATTTTCACCCAAAAAAAAAAAAGAGAGAAAAATATCCAACACAAAATATCATAGCATGGAGTTGGACATTTTATCTTAAACTCATATGAGATGTTTGCAAGATTACAAGAATTATTTATTTCACACCATGAAGTGGCCTGGTGAGATTTTCATCATCAAAAATGTATATGCCTCTCCCCTTCCGATTGCCCACAGAAAGCAAAATGTACATTAGATTGAGGTGGTCAAAAACCATCAACGTCCGTCCGTCGAGAAACCAATTACAAAAACGTGTGATTTAGGTTCCGTTTGATAAAACTGAATCTGAATTCTGAAGTCTGAAATCTAAATACTGAAACAATTAATTTGCTGAATTTTAAGCACTGAAAAAAAATATATGAATGCCTAAATTTTAATGCTAAACCTATTTATGCTGTTTGATAAATATTTATAGTTGAATGCTTAATAAGCTTAATTTGACAATTTTGCCCTTATATCCTTTCATTCAAAAAAGAAATAGAATCTATGATTTAATTAGTTTAAAATTGTTAGGTATGAAAATGACAATATTTATTTTTAAATCAAATTAATATAAAAGATGAAATATATTATATGAGGAGTATGAAGAAGATATGAAAGTCATTAAAAAGGGAGAAAAGAGAAACTAAAAATCGTTAGATAGAGAATATTATATTGTTTAATTAGATAAAAATTTTGAACATAATTAACAAACAATGGTAGATTTAGTAGATAAGATAAGGTAGTTGAAGTAATTCTATTGATTCTTATCAGAATTAAGCATTCAGTTAGGATTCTTGTGCTGAAAAAATTACACACAGGTTCAGCACTGCTTAACAAGTTCAGCAAATAGATTTTTATTTATCAAACATTTAAAACATTTGAATGTCTGAAAAAATTCAGATTCAACACTTTTTTATGTTATCAAACGGACCCTTAGTAAAATCATAAGAAACAGACGAAGCTACAATACTTATTCATGTCTTCCACTGACTAAGAAAGACGATGTGGATTGTGGACGAATAATGATGCTTTTCCTTTTAGACTCGTTAATTTGATTCAGATTTGGAATAAGAAAACATCGAGATCATCCGCACCCTTTTTACTTGCTCTCTCTCGGTTGGTCCTGCCCCTTTTAAACCAACTCCTCTCCAAAACCAAACCACCCAAATATTTCACTAAAGTACAGCCAAAAATTACACATCCGAGACGCCACGCCCCACCAACCTACTCCCATTAACATTTTAGAATACTAATCACTTGCACCCGAAGTCAAACGTTGTTAGACCCCAGCCGTACGTAGAAAGCAGAGGCCAGCTTATATTCTATGTTTTGGTGTTTTTCCATCATGACCAGCTGCATCACAGTTAAAATTCCCCACTATCATTCTATATTGATATCCGTTTCTTGATGCTTTATGACGAATAACTTTTACTGACCCACCCAAAATTTGTTTTTTTTTTTCTTTTTTGAGAAATATAATACTATAATATCTCTTAGGTTCACACGGTGGCCGGGTGCTCAAAGTTGAAACGGCTACCTTAAGATAAGAATAAGCAGGGAAAACGAGGACATTTCTTTGCTCGAGGATGAAATCAATGGAAATGTCGACGTTGCTGTAAAGAATTGATTGAAACAAGAAGAAAGAAAGATGGTGGTGATACGTGTGATACCTAAGACATCTGTAAGTTTCCGAGCAAACAGTGTGGATCATTTCATCGTAAGAAGAATGTCACCACAAGTTGCTGGAAGAATCACTTGCTTGCTGTCACGATTAAGTTTTCGGCGAAGATATTGACCCTGACTTCATGAGCATTAGTAAAAGATATGAGGGTGAAACCGGAAAGAGGTGATCCAGGTCTTATATTTTTTTCTTTTATAAGCAGCCACGATTATTTGTTTGAATAAATATTATATACACTGACAGTATATACACTATCATATCACCGATGAATTCATGACATGCATGTAAAAGTTGAATTTCAAATTCAAATTTTATATAACTGACATTCATCCAACACTGACTGACTGCAACGTACACACTATCAGCGTGGAAAAAACTAATCCTATTTGTTTCGTAAAGGAAAAACAAAACTACATTTATTTTGCAAATTTTTGAATTGTTCATGACCGGTGGCAATCCACGTCTTACTCATGTGGCGACTTTTTCTTTTCTTTTTTTTTTTTTGGGCATTGGAAAATTGATTCAATTCTCAGCTATTCAAATCCTAACGTCGGCCCAGATAATACATAGATGAGATTAAATGTCAACTAGAATTAACGATCACCCAAAAATAAAACAGCATATGTAAACTACGCCTGATGGCCGGCTATATGTATTCTTTAGTTGTATTTTTAAGATCAAAAAAATGAAAAAATTCACAAGGAAGTGCAGCTTAATTAGTTGATTACGATGTAGAAAATATCTGACGTGTAACCAATTTATCAAACTCAAATTTTGGATATGATGACACAGTCATATATAGCAATTTTTTTTTGGAATCGGTTCAATTTTGATGATCATCACTTCACTACAGATGAGAATATGTTGTCGGAATTACAGGTCATTGTGGCTTGGGATTATTTCTATGGGCTAGCTATGGGCTTTGGTCAAGTCATATTTTCCCATGATTGTCAAGAGTCATGGCCGCCGGAGACCTAAAGAAGGTCGTGGGTCTCCGCAGGAATGTATCATTCGTCTTCCCGCTCAAGACTTGGGTCCTCATCTCATCTGGGAAACAATTGATTGACCCAGTCAGTCTATACATACATTATCATAAACAATCCCGTTGATAGAGATTAAAGATCAACTAAGCATTGGCCTAATCGGAAAATGTAACCGTAGTTGACTCGTTATACATGACGCGCCGGTTTAAGTTTCATCATTGTGAAAGGGCGAACCATTTTTTCTTGTATTATACTACTATTAGATAAGCTCATTTTAGCTTTTTTTTTTTTATTTTTCCTCTTCTGGAAAATATACTGAAATAGTAGCCGTGAATCTTCTTGAATTCAAAGCAGAATTAAGAGAGTTATTTTTCCAAGGACCCCAGAAACAAAAAAAAAAAAAGAAAATGAACCACAGCCTTATTAATTCCTTCCCCTTCATAGACTTTGTTATACTACTACTACTACTCAAATGAATATTGCAAATTCAATTTCAATAAAACCATTCTTATTTCTCATGAGAAATTAACTTTGTTTACATGTCATTTATTTCTCATGATATTCATCAGCAGCTAGCTATATTTATGCATGCGAAATAATTAATGCATATTCATCCAATCCGGATGCTGGCTAGGCTATTGTATATACCATGTGTGCATGATTGGACGACGAAAGCAACTAAATTTTGTTCAATAAATTCTCAAGAATTAATTTATTCTTGAACAATATTAATCGACAATAAGGCTTTTCTGCTCACCAAAAAATTTACATTTTCCCGCTTGGCTGACCAAAAATTGACAAAGAACAAGTAAATGGAACAAAGAAGCCGCGTGTGTGAAAGGTAAAACTAGCATAATAAAGAACGGATTCTAATACAAATCTAATATGCCAGTGATTTCAAACTGTCTAGCAAGCAGAGCCATGTTTCTTCTCAGACTTGTTGATCACAGTGGCTAGTAGACTGAGTGGTCGGCTTGGCGAGGTAAGTGGGGTTGTCATCTCCGGCCATGATTACGACTATCCTGGGCTCCGGTTCATCAGGGCGTAGCACGGCGGCCCTCGTTGATTTTTCCTGATCATCATCGTTGTTGCCTGAGGATTGAGTAGTAGTAGTAGTAGTAGGATTCCTGTAAGAGCAGGCAAGAATAAGAAGAGAAAATGCAATGAGCCCTAACATGAGAGCAAGGCCAGCAAAGAGGTAAGGAAGAGGTGTATTCCAGTGATTGAATAATCCAGAGTTGACATGAGCGGAAGTGGAGTTGTTTTCCTGGGTCATTTTCTTTTTTTTTTTTTTTTTTTGGTTTTTGGTTTTGTCTACAGATGTCTTTTGCCTTAGAGTTCTTGCAGCTTTAATTTTGCAATCAAGAGGAGATCGCATGTATTTATCCGTATAATTTATAGGCCACCAGGGCAGGGCAAATGAATCACCATTACGGTGCATGGGTTCGGATTAGGATGGGTGATTCAGTGAATTACCAAAAATGACCTGCATGAGTAAGTGGGATTCTTTCTTGTGCTTGGCTGTTTCTTCTTTTGGTGATCCTTCCTCGAAGAGAGAATAGATTGGGCCGCAAGTCTCTGCTGGATTCACCAGCTAGCTGCCTTCCTCATTTGCCCTCTCTTAATTAATTATCAATTATTATCTCAAGATTTTATTTCTATTCCATGCACCATGACTTTGAAGCAACCAGTTTAACTTTGAGCCTTAAAGGATAAACTAACTAATCCACATTGTCTTATTCTGGATGTTCCGATTGAGAATCCAAGAGTTAATACCACTTAGCACGTAATCCGAAAGTTAAATACCAGTGAGAGATGTTTAAGGCGAGAATCGAATATGTGACAAGAGTACCGCTGCGTACTAACAAAGTTAATGATTAAACCCCGTTCGAAAAATCAATCAACAATTTTTTTTTTATATCATGATATTGGGTAGCTTAATTAAAGATTTGTGATTACTTTTTATTTTTGTTTGTTTGTGTCTTAGTTGAATGCGCGAGAACATCGTGCACAATACTCGTTGGCAATTAGACAAACCCGACAGTGTGATGAGGAGGTAGATAAAATTCTTCTTTCTTCCGCACCTAGAAAAGTTCATAGATTAATTAATTCTCTCAAATTATTACCAACGGCAAATATGGCTTGGTGTGATCGTAGCGGGGTTTTTTTATTTTGACTGTAACGATAACATTTTTTATAACCAAATTCATCTTATTCCACAGAAAATGGGAGTCTAAAGAAATTGTGTAAGGAATTAGCAGATATATGAACTCGACTAAATTAAAAGAATACTGTGACACTATTTTTAAATTTTTTTCACTATAAATGAAATTCGAATTCTTGACATAATAGTCTCTTTTTGGTGGCCATTGAGGCACAAGCTCCGTGATTAATAGGAGCAGGGTTTGGGCTAAGGGTATTTTGGTGATATGAGGTTGTGAAGACCAGCGGTAGTTGAATGAAGCAACGGGCAAGTGAAAGGGAGAATGAGTGTGAAATTGATTTCGTTGAGCCACGAAAATGACCGCGAGTTTCTTGCATGATGGGCTCTTAGCTTTTTTCTAACCAAACCCCAACACTGGCCCCCATTAAACGTGTTCTCTTGGCTCAAGTATCCTCTTTAATTAATACTCAGGCGGCAACAAAGGAAGCCTGAGCTAATTGAACACGAACACCGCCTGCCAAATTCCCTACCAATTATGAGCCAGGAGAAGAAGAAAAATTGGAAATAATTAGGAATAACAATGGGTGGGTAGGGTTAAATCCGATATCATTGGTACTCGATCTGATGGTTATCCAATTAGATGACAGTTGGATGGGTAATTGGTTAGAATTTGATATTGAGGAGGGGTAATCGATAGATAATCCATTCGATAAGATTTGATAAAAAAAAATGCTAAAAACTCGAAACTCGATACCCGTCATACAAACATAACATAAAATTAAGGCACGCAGGCATAATTAGTAAGGCGCACAGGCATGACATATGTTGTGCCTTAATTTTATGGTCCAACAATAATTATTAATTGACCCTCAAATTCTCTCTTCTTTTTTTTATCATCCCTCAAATCCTCAAACTTACAATTTTTATCTTTTTAATGTATTAATTTCAGTTTGAGTGTATCCAATGAATAATATGAACCTAATATCGAGAGGGATTCATGATGGAAGTTAAAATCTGCAGGATTACCAGAAAAAATTTAGTAAAAGACTTAGATATACAGGTTAAAATTTGGTAAGAGAGATTTTTGAGGGTACTAACTTTCTACCATTCTTAGACATAAGTGCTTTACTTTTGTTACCTTTGTTGAGGAATACAAGGAAAGAGAAGCAGAGAAGAGATTCGTGGATTAGGATGAAACCAATTAAAACATATCCAATTTCTTTATTCACTTTTTACGATTTTAACATTTATTAACAGGTTATACTTTTTAATGAAACTGACTCATCGAGGTGCGAATGTAGATACACTACCTAAGGAAAACCCACAACTCAATCCAAAAGACATGCTGATTTTCAGGCTACACTGAGAGAACCTTGAGTAGTATACACACGCCAGTCACAATCACACAGCTATTTCGTATAGTCGCCTTCGAGTTCATATTATCAATTCATGTTCTTGGAGAATTAGCACTGGAAAACCATGTAACACAACGTTGGCTTTGGTAATTGGTGGTACAAGAGAACCGAAACCGAAAATTAAAAGGATGGAAATGATGAATGTTAAAGCGAATTGGTGTGGTGGGTCTTTTGCATGGAATTAAAAATTCCGGTGGTGGAACTTGGGAGACTGAGACTTTAGACTCTAGAGAAGGAAGGTTTCTTCAGACTGGAAAGAGACAGGCACAACGGAATTTATAGGGAAAGTATGCTGCTAGTTGAATTGAATCGAATCTGCCAAAGAATTACATTTGATTCTCATCAACTGAGGGATGCGGAGAAAATGTTGTTAATGTCCCCCAGGAACAGTTTTAGCAAGCCACCATATATATATATATATATATATTTTTGGTGGATAAAAACAGCCCTCCGTTTTTACAATTTACATGCCAATTTTCAATGGTTAACGCTTGGGTCGATTCGTGACCCAAATTCTATCACACCGTCATACTAATTCAAGTATTGAAAATGTGGCAAAATTTGGATCACTAGTTCTACAAGATCGGATCTACTCCAGTTTTTGCCATTTCCAATGTCCTGGTATTCATGACAGACAGAAACTACAGAATTGAATTTTATTAGAGATGTATCATATGTGCAAGGCTTTCTATCACTTTTTTTTTTTTTTTTTTTTTCATCATAGTGGGTATCTGGGTCCGTGGACTGGTTACCGTACGACCCAACTAATCTCACTGCGGGCTGGGAGAGGCCTGCCCCAAGCGTCACCAGCCACGGTAGAACCGGGATTCGATCCCTAGACGTGGCTCTTCCCCAACTGGGACTACAACCACGGGACCGAACCCGGAGGGGCACTTTCTATCACTTTTCATTTTGAGCTTTTGGGTCCGTCCAATGTTGTTTATTTCCAAGGTTTTTTTTTTTTTTTTTGTTTTGGTGAGATGGCACTTTTGTGCTGGGCTTTTTTTGAAATTGGTACTCAGCTTGCCTGCTAGGCTATTCAACACTTCTTGTTTTGAGTTTCTCGGCCCATTAAGGACCAAACCCACGCTAAATCCACCAAAAATTCTACAGCTTGCTGGGCTGAGAAGCATATCTCCGTATGTTGCGCGCTGATTATCCAATACAGCAGCATATTAATGTTGATAACGGCGCTGGCTGGTCACGCAATTTCCCGGATAACGGGAAAAATTCCCCGCCGTCTTTCCGCCGCGTGAGTGGTAGCATCTCTGCTAAACTTTACTAACTTCTCAGCTGGTCAGTCTTCTTGTCCAGCATAACCACAATTCACGTGCACCTCACTAAATTCTGATTGCAGCCTCAACTCCTAATTTTGTTTTTATTTCCCAATAGTGTTGTAAATTGCAAATGAACTTGACGATTTTTTTTTAATTGGATAAAGTGGACGGAACTCTGCCGTAAATAATAGGTTAGGACTAGGAGGAGGACAAGGACTAGATGAGGTGCAGAAAAATACAAGTTCTTGTCAAAAAAAAAAAAAAAAAGGATTTTCGGGTATTTTACTTATCTCATGTACAAGATTGGAAATGAAAATGGGAGTGTTCATGGGGGCTTCTGCAATCTGATGGATGCATGTTTCTGGACATTCATTTCAGGCCCATTAATATTTATATGCAAATTCTGGAACCAAGTGATGAATATAATTTTTATGTTATTATATTATTAGTAGTTACTAGTTATGTGTTGCATGGCATTATCTATGATTAGATCTGAATGCACATGAAATTGCCAATTATGAATGCTAGCTCTCAAGGGATCTCAAGATTTTAGTCCAAAAATTAATTTAGCGCTGTTGTTTCTTTACTTGGGTCTTTTGTTGGTGGTAAATTATTGAAATGAAAACCTACAAGTAGATTGGCTAGTCTATTAAACACGTAGAAAAGACAGATTGTTCTAAAAAAGGAGGGCCTAAATATGATTGGTAGGGTCCTCTTCCCACGTTCCTCTCAAAACCAGATGTTATTGCTAACAGATAATCATGTTAGTCCATCGCTAAACCTGACTTCCTGGCTGGTTGAACCACCTGGTTTGCAGAGGCCTTGTAAGTTTGGCTTCTTTGTGGATAGGTTTTGCCAACAACTGGGTTGATGAATTAGACACCTGGGGAAGGAAAGGATTGGCACACGGGGAGTATCTAAAACTTCAGGATCAGTGTTTTGCTCATGTATACTCAAATGCAATCATAATTTGTGTGGTTGATCCTGATTTCTGTATTGCAGCTGTTTAGCTCAAAATACCTGGTATCATTAGTTCAATTTGGTAGTAATTCAGGAATACATAGTAATCACTATGGAAATCTAGCTGGTAAAAAGTGGTTGTCGAAACTGCACACTAAGGCTTGGAGTACCAATTTCGTCTCAAAGTGAAAACTTCAATTCATCTAGAATTGGTTATTGTACTTGCAGTTATGAACTTACAATCATGCAGTAGAATCTTTACATCAGCACAATCCGAATCTCCTTTCTCTATTTCTCTTCCATAAATATGTCACTGTCTTCTATTTCTTTTTCTCCTCAATTATTCCCTGATTAAAAAGGTGTGGCTTTGATGCCCCAAGATAACACTTTCATACTTCTGTCCATCAGCGATTCTAGCTTTTCTTTACCCAATAAGTGATTCTGGATCTGGAATGAATAAACTAAAGCTTCCAATTCTAAGCACTTGGGTGATGGGAGTCAAGTATGATGCTTAACTCTATATAAGAACTGAAGATGCGTGATTTGCACCTGAAAGCAATGCTAGAGTTGCCTGCTTTGTTGGTGTCTGATTGCTGACTACGAATATCAGGAGTTAAATATGGTGAATTTCTAAAGCTTCTCTGCTTATTCTACGACTCTGCCCCATTCTAGATAAAGGATATTTAAAGGAGTATGCTCTTTATTACTTATTGGTCTTTCTGGCACTGGAATAGGACTTCCTGCACTTTCAAGAATCTTTTTTTCAGTGCATATGATATGTAAAGGAAGCATGCTTCAGCGAATGGGAGAATGGATTGTGATCCTTAAAGCGTCTCTGGATATAGAAGAGCACTAGTGGAAGTGCCAAGCCAATTTGGTATGTCATATGCAGCACATAATAGGTATCAAGCTCGAGAGCCACAGAGTTGTTGTCCAGTTGGTGGTGCCATTTGTTCTTTGGCTGGACCTGCTCCTGATTGCTTTTTGTTTAGGAATTGACGTCCACAAGGAAATACTGGTGTGGGAGGATAGGATTTAGATGCTTGACATCATTTTTAAATGCAAGATGCACTTTCATACACCAGATCATCATTCTCATGATGCTTGTCTTGGTATTAATGTTTATGTCATGTTTACTCTTGTAAAGAACTGGTTCATACAAGGTTTTGTCATCCACTCATCCTTTACCGCTTCCTTTCTTTTTTGTCCGTCCCCCAAAATAAAATGAAAAAAATGAGAAATGCAAAGAGAATGGATTATGTGGAAATGGAATAGTTCTTTATTTAAGTGGAGATCTATCTCACAACCTTGACTTTTCTTCTCTCTCTCTCTCTCTCTCTCTCTCTGAAAGAGGAGATCGATTTGGTCCTACTTCCCAAAAATCTAGCCGCTGATGAGATTGATTTAAATCTTGCTCTCGAGTAACCAATACTATTTGACCATGGAGCCTTTAACCTTTGGATACATGGTTGAAATAAGTTTTAGAGTTTATAATACTCCTAAAATATGAATATTAAGTCCTAATTCACTGGTAACCAATTTTGCAACTTCTTACCTACCATTTGGTTTTCTGAACATCCTTTTTTAGTTTTTTTTTCCCTTTTTTTGTGGGGCTTTTAATTGATATATATCAATCCTTTCCACAGTGTTGACACTGCATTAAACGCAGAGTTTGCTTTACAAGTTGGAGAAGGATGCTATTGTTCACCAAATGGCAGAACAGAAATAGATACATAAAGCGCACAAGTATCAGGAAAGACCTCAAGTCCAGAAGCTGAGCCTCTCTTAGGATAGTTACAGTGCATACAAGGTGTCCAGTTTAAAGCCTATCTTCTAGCTGCATGACATCCATTTATTCCTTGCTGGGGTATTAGTTGCTCTTTTTACCTTTTCTTTTTGACGGTGCACCTAAAAAGTGAAAAGTGTAATGTGCCTTTAGTTTGCTTAATCAAAATGGTCCTGAATTGAAGCTTTGTGTTTCTTTTGGAAATCAAGTAGTCTAAGATGATACTTCCTAGTCCTTTGACGTTGACCATTCTTGAAAGTCCTTTATCTTGTTTGATGGTTGATAATTATCAGCTGGATCTTTTAAGTTTGGTTGATTCTTATATATTTCAGTGACATATCTATTATTTGAGTAGCAAATATCTCAAACTATCTTTTTTGCTGATTCTGGAAATTTGCCTTGGTTAGGATAGGATTGATGACATGGCACTGAGAAACTTTGCATTGGTGGTTGCTACATAAAGAAAAAAGTTATGCCTATGTTCAGGAAGACCACTAGAGTGAATATTTCAAGAATCAGGATGACTCAGAGCGAAAAGACTAAATCTTTCGCAATCGACATTAAGGCATATTCTGTTTATTAAGCTTAGAGAGACGAAGTCTCCTTCACCTCTGTAACAGATATATATTCTTTGTTGGGGGAGGACTCACCTTTTCACTTTTTCTTTGAGTCTATGCCCAGAAGAATCAAGTTGCAATATGCTTTCTGTAATCATCAAATCCAATGAATGGCAGACCAAGGGTGAGGCTAATATTTATTTATATACGTCCACTTGCTGTCAAGGTAATAATGAACTGCATCTTCGAAGCAAATGCATGAGATTGATGAATGAGACATAGGAAACATCCATTTCCTTTAGATACTTTTTTTTTTTTTTTTGTAAAAAAGTTTTCTAGGACATGTTTTATTCCTTTGTTTGCTTATGCCTCAATGATAGGGATAGAGACTGTAGTAAGTGAGAATATTTCAGATAATGTCCAGCAGGTGTTGATTGTCAAAGTGTTTTTTCTGCTGATGATATGAATGAAATGATAAATTCTGGTGGCATTTGGAAAATTTGAAGAATAGTTCAATAACTTTCTTGAAGGTTCAACAAGATATGCTAAAATTTTTTGTTTAAGCAATGATTACATCATTGAAATGCAATGCACTAGTTAAAGATGTACGGCTCGTGCTCCTACAATTACTTTTTTTTTTAGTTTTCGTCTCCTCTCTTCTCAATCAGTTGAAATTACAAATATGACTTTGTCTAAAACACGGTGTTAGTTTTTGGGAATCAAATCCTGATCCCTAATTGTAATATATGTGAGAATTGATAATTGTTTTCCTTCTGTTATGATGTCCTTTGTCTGCTACACAAGTGCAGACAACTACTGCAGTGGAAGAGAATAATTGCCAACTACTTGTTGATTGAAGGCAGTGGGACCACCAAACTATGAATGAATAAGTTTTTCATTCAATTATATGAAGCTTCATGGCAGGAAAGAAACTGAAGAAAGCATAAAGTTGACCTGGACTCGAACATTGTTATAACTGAAGTCATGCAGAGCATTAATTCACCTACAGTTTAAAGCGTCTTTTGCAATTCCAATTTTTGTGGCTGGACTTGATTCTATGTCCTGGTATACTTTACTACAGTCTATACTTCTTGTCTTACACATTAAAGCTTTTTGGTCTGACCCTTTTTGGCTTTAGCTTCATCTTAACACCCTTTTGTCATCTCCCTTTTCCTTTAACTTCAGCTCTAATAATTTTTTAACTTAAACTTTTTGCAGTTCTTTAAATGCTCGTATATAAATTCTGACTTTGTTTTAGGTTTATCTATGGATTAAGGAATTATTACTGTTGTAAGTATGCATGTGATTTACAACAATGTACGTGATAGAGTTAAAAAAGTATGTGCACAATTACTGCCAATACAAATGTGATGACCACCCAAATTCAGTAGTTTAGCGTCTCTAATATTTCTGGAAATATCTGTCAGACCCTTTGGTGAAATTGCAAATGAAGCATGGGGACAACTATTCAATCGAAAATGAAAAAAACCTGCTTATGATCATAGAAAAACTAAGCACTCAAAATGTTGACAGAACTAGGGGTTTGGCTTCAATAGATGATTCAATCAGATACAATAGTTCTTACTAGGCCTGATTGTACACCTAAATATCTCTTTGTAGACATGTTGGATAAGCATCATATTGTAGTGGTGTAAAATTTTATAGATTCCAACATATTTGAAGTATGCATTTGAATTCACAATTTGTGTTCGAGTGTCTTTACCTGTTCTTTATGTGCTTACCTGATAGAGAAAAAGGCATTGATGTCCAGAATGGCAATGCAGAAAGAGATACTTAATTTGTGATGGATCTGCAATGGTCTTAAAGCAAAAAGGTAGAGGCATGTCTGATGGTATATGTGGTACATGCCAGGTACCAAGGTCTGGAACCACAAAGTTTTCTACAACCGTAATTGCTTCAGTTGTCTTTTTCCAGAACTTCCTTTTGTTTCTTTTCTTTATATCTTAACAATCACAAAAGCATAAAGTTCCCATGTTATTCAACATCTTGATTTTTGGAAACTAACTCTGCCTGACCAGTGGATAATACTCTAGACTAGTCTATTGTCCTCTGATGATCTATTTATTTGTTTCAGTTTTTATGTTCCTCATCTGTTGAAGACAAGTTGAATTTGGATCTACTTCACTAATTCCCAGACTCTTTGCCAAGCTTTTCAATTATCATGAATTTCTTGCTGTTGTTGTTTGGTATCCCTTGCTTTACCATTTATGAATGAAGTGTTACTGGTGGTTTTCACCAGGTGGAGAGGTGCTTGCTGTTTCGCATTAGTGGAGCAACAAAAAATGGTTCATAATTTCGAGAAATGATAGGATTTAATTAAGATTTCTTACTACAAATAAAGTGTAGTATAAGTGACAAGCCAAATATTTCAATATATGGGTTTGTCACTCAAAACTTAGATCCTCACTGTTAGATTACCACATTATCTTATTTCTTTGATCAGTTTTTTTTGGGTGCTGAAAATTCTCTTATCCAGTGAATGTCGTAATAGGATCTAATTTTTAACGTTACTTCAAACCATTCATAGCTTCAAGTAGAGTAGTGAGGAACGATTACTGATTAAATAGGTACAGTTATCAAGCAGGATCTTAAAGATAAATTGCTGAGCCATTTTCTAGCTGACAATCTTGGAAAGTAACAAGGATATAAATTTTGCTACCAAAACAAGCCCACACCTCTCTGATAGCTTTGTTGAGGTATGATGTGAGGTAGAAAGTGCCTGTTTGCTTTTTTTACAATTAAATGCCACAAAAGTGTAAAGTGCAATATTCTTTTTAAAAGCATCATCGGCATTTTAAGGTGAACCTCAATTTCAAGGCTACAGACTTAGTTGCCTATTTGTCTATATCAATGTCTATGTGATTTATATTGCAATCAATTAAGCATCCATGCTCTCTGATGAATGAGACATAGGTAGTGCAAAACTTTGAGATGATATTTGCATTTTTTTTAACCGCTGCAATACTGGGAACTGGGACATGGCAAGCAGTGGCTAATCAACTTTGGATGCCTCCCCTGCTAGTGTCCAGGAAACAAAAAAATGGGCGGGGAGAAGGGGGCTTGTTTGGATGTTCATTCCACCCATATTATGAGTAAGAGTTCAATTACTGTTGCCTGATTAAGCATAGAATGCAATTAGGGGTTTTGGGTTCTAATTTTCAAGCCAGGAAATATCCCACCTACTTTTCCCTTTCATTTTTAAGACGTGGACCTAATATTCTGCTTATCTTTTGCCTTGGGCCAGTGAGTACTAAATAGAATCTGGGACCAACTTGCAGGAATTGATGATAAAGGTGTTATTTTGGAAGGAATGAGGTCTATAGGAAGCTGATTGTGCTTGCTTTCATTACTACATTGCAGCAGACTAAAAAGTTTGTAAGCTTTCTGAGAGCCCAAGGCTTTTAGCTGTAAAGGTTCTTCATCTGTTTCCTGTGGCTAGACTTGCTCCCGTCGTTATTGTGAAGCCTTTATGCTATGGACACTTAAACTTATTCTAGTCCGACTCTAGTTTTCCTTATTTATGTATGGCTTTTTGTTTCAGAATTAAGTGTAACTAATGTACCTCATGGGATATGTGTTTGCACCAAAAAAGCATTAGTGCTAATAATAAGAGCATGTATCATGGATTACTCAAAAGCTGTAGGCACTGAGGAAGGCAATATCAAAATTACAAAGCACATTTCTATGATCAGTTATAACAAGAAAGACACCCTATTAACCTTGGCTTTAGACATCTTAAATACAATTCTCTTTCTGAAGTGGTTCTGGTTCTCTTCGTTCTGGATTCAGAATGATGGCACGATGCCATAACCACTTTCCACCATTAGTGCTGTCGAAGCATCTGATCGACTTCAGCTTCAACATCCGTTCTTTTTGCAAATCGACCTTTAATCCTGGGTCTGGTTTCTGCATACGCCTTCCTTGAAGCGTACCTGATCGTCTTCTCAAATTTTCGGGTCTTCTTCTTCTCTCTGTACCTCAGAACTTTGGCCTCCCTGTCCATTGGCGTAAGTTGCTGTGGCATTTGAATTGGTGGGCTTGCGAAAAGGTCGATGGTTCCTTTGGGTGGTCTATGATGGGAGATGGAGACATCACTCATGGTAGACTCTGGGACTACACCACAATCCATGGATGAGATTGAAACCTGAGATAGTAGTCAGAAACACGGCATTGGTCCCTTTCAATTGTAAATATTGCTGAAGCAAAATGTTCCTTTAAAAAGGAGTCTTGCTTTTGAGGAAGTCAATTTAGTACCTTAATGCTGGCAAAAGGGGTCGGGAACAAAAATTTGCAATAACATTCCTTTGGACCATAATCCCAAGTTGTTCAAGCTTCTTGAGCACTGACTAGTTTAGAGAAGTACTGGCTTAAGCTTCTCAAACAAAGCCTGTGCTTGCAAGAAGAGATTTGAACTGGAAAATGTTTTTGTGCTCGCTTATTTTGCAAGAAAATCCTATCATACTGTGTCCAAAAAAATCTAGGCTAGGATCATACCGTATAGTCCTTGTTTTACTTTTTTTTATCTTAAAAGTACTTCTTTCTGTGCATAGAATTTTATCCCTTCATTGAATTGCCTTTCTACCCATCATGCTTTTATTTAAAAAAAAAAAAAAAAAGACACCCGACGGTAGAATTGAATTACCCCTTTTTGGCTTGGGTTTTGATTACCAGACTCTAAGAGTAGGGCTGACTACTGCGGAGTAAACAACAGAGAAAGAATTTTTTTCTTCAACCAATGGATGTATATGTATCCAAGTTTTAATTCATCTATTGCTCACATATTTCTTATAGCACTTAAAAAGTGGGACAAAAAGAATACTTTAACCAAGCCTTAAATATGGGTCTAAGTGGCAATTTCAAGTACTCCCTCCTTCTTCCCCAACGACTCCCCGCCACCCCCCCCCCCTTTCTCTCCCACGCAAACAAAAAAGAAGAAGAAGAAGAAGAATTCATCATATGAATTGAAGGTTTAAAATCTTGGAACAAATTTGCCCAATTAATTATACAGCGGTTAAATTGCAAGAATATAAAATTTAGCCGGCCCCTAAGGTTAAAGCTGAAGTCTTCGAGTAAACAAATGAGTATGTGTTGACTCAGGAGCAAAGTCAAAAAGAGGAAACGGTATTGCAGAAAACCAAAGTAAAGCCGCATCGCTTTGAGCAAAACTCTTGTTAAGTTAACGACGGCATAATAATGCATAAGAATAAAACTTACGCTGTGACTCATGGAAGATACTGGATAGGCATACCCAGTATTTGATGCTTCATACTCCAATCCCAGCTGAAAACTCTGGTGATGCTGATGCTGAAGCTGCAGCTGATCTTTTGCTCCTCCGGAACGAACCGGGACCACGCTGTCTCCTCCGTAACTCTTCTGAAGCACAGCATAGTGTTGCTGCTGATTGCTATACTGATGATGGCTAGTGTATTGATTTTCTTGGCATGAACTATACTCAACTAGGTCCAGATACTCATCAACAACCTCGCCACCAAATAGCATATTATTATTACTGTTGTTTTGGTGGTGGTGGTGGTGGTGGCTGTTGTTTTTAACGGGATTAAGTAACAGCCAAGAAGCTGCTTCGTCTTCATCATTTTCATCGATGGTTTCATCAACATCTTGAGTCAAGAAACCATCATCAGCATCTTCTGTATCTTGCCCGATCATGGATCCCCCGGGATCAGTAGCCGGGGGTCCATAAAGGGTTCCCGGAATCGGCAGAATGGGGACCCTGTGGTGACGGCGGGCCAAAGGGTTGGCGGAGTGGATGTCTGAGTCGCAGGCTGCACAGAGGGATGCTGCATCAGCCTTACACAAAAACGCTGCAGGAGCACGCTCGCAGGCCTCGCACACCCACACGCGCTCGTGGCGCGAAGCCACCTTGTTGGCTGCGTGTATGCGAGCGTCGCAGCCGGTGCAGAGGTACGCGGAGTCAGCCCGGCAGTAGACGGTGCAGGCCGCTGAGCGGCAGGTGTCGCACACCGGGCCCAGGTGTTGGCGCCGCCTCCGTTGGTGTCCTCCTGTTTCAGCATTGCTTTCTATGCTGTTTGGAGTGAAAAAAATGGTAAAGAGAGAGAGAGAATGGTTCTGGTTTGTGTCTGAGACTCTGAGGGGAAGGTATGGTTGTGGTTCAGCAGGAGCTAAGGAGTGGCATCGAGATGAAATGGGGGCTGAGTTCCGCTGGGGATGGGGGTGGCGGGTGCGGGTAGCAGCACTGCTCGATGAAAAGAGGGAAAGGTGTTTGAAGACACTTAACAACAACACACTTGGAGTTGAGGTTGAGGGCAAAGGCAACTGCCAACCAAGTAAAGGTCCTCCCTAAAGGACAAGGAGGGGGAGGGAATCCGTGGGTGCGACACGTGGCGGGGAGTTAGTGGATTGGAAAAGTTGTTTTATTATCTTGTGGTTGGCTGTGATTCTGGAGGCCCCTGGGGCTTTTTTTGGGGGGGGTGGGGTTTGGCATGTGGGGTCTACAGACCTTTGGCTTTTGGAATCAATTGGTATTGTGGGGAGGACCGCCTGGAAGGAAAGGGATCAAAGGACCGTCCTCCTCTGTTCTGTTCCAAGTGTTTCTTCTTCTCATCTCTCAGACTTTTTTTTCCAAGCCCAAAGGACTCTCTATCTGTATCTGACTCACAGTCACAGGTGGTGTGGACTTTCGGACACTTGGCGCTCCGTATTTTATTGTCCACGACACCGCTTTGCTCCCCAGCTTTCACTCAGTCACTACGCCAGCAGTTATATCATATGGATAAATTCACTTGTTTTTTTTTGGGGTTCCTTTTTGCCTTTCTAAATTTATTTTTTTACAGCACTTGTTGTCCTTATAATTTTTTTTTTATTCAGTATCACAAGTGAAAGATTTTGAACTCAATATTTTACAATTATACTCCCTCCTTCGATATCACTCAATTCTTTCCTCCCTCTGCCTGCCTACTAATATAATGTATTGTAACTTAGTAATAATTAACATAATGGTACATTCTCTTTTTATTTTGTATTCTTATTGCGACTGCAGTATTTAAATTATGTTTGGATTGCATTTTTTTGAATTTTTTATCAAAAAAGTGATTGTAACGATTTGATATATGTGCGGTAAGATGACGTGCTGCAAGAAACTCAGCG